GTCATGAAATTAATTTTTAAAATTTTTATATTTATCTATAGGTCATGAAATAAATTTTCATAAATTATTTATGAATTTTTATATGTTTATCTATAATGAAATTAATTAAAGTACAAAACGAACGGCGAAAAAAGGAGTAATTTCGGTTTTTTTTTAAATCAATTATTTAATCTTTATCTTTATTTATAGGCCATGAAATTAATTTTTATAAGTTATTTATCAACTTTTATATGTTTATTTATGGGAAATTTTTTTAAATTATCTATAAGTTATGAAATTAATTTTTTTAAATTAATTGTTTAATTTTTTTCTTTATCTGCAGACTATAAAATTAATTTTTAATTTTTATATGTTTATCTATATGGAGGATTCTCATTCAAAGCCAACCAACTTCATTATTAATACTCTTTTCATTTAGAGCCAATAATTTCTTTTTAATCTTTATCACTTGGTAGATAATAACGAATAATAAAAATTATCCAGAAAAGGTTAAGAATTTAATAGGAGACAAGAAGTTATAGATAAGGACATTTCATAAGATAATTTTTTTTTTTAAAAAAACGAAGATAATATGTGATAGAAGGAGAAAAAAAAATATGAGTAAATCAAAATAAAGATTTAGATATATATGTTTTTGATAGATATATAGATTAACAAATCATATCTTTATCTAAATGTTATTATTTTATTTTTTTGTAAATCAATTATTCAATCTTTATCTTTATATGTAGGCCACGAAATTAATCTTTGTAAATTATTTATCAGTTTTATATGCTTATTTATCTATAAGTTATGAAATTAATTTTTTTTAAATAATTTTTTTTTTATTTTTATCTTTATCTATAGGTCATGAAATAAATTTTCATAAATTATTTATGAATTTTTATATGTTTATCTATAATGAAATTAATTAAAGTACAAAATGAAGGGAAAAAAAAGGAATAATTTCATTTTTTTTTAAATCAATTATTTAATCTTTATCTTTACTTGCAGGCCATGAAATTAATTTTTATAAGTTATTTATCAACTTTTATATGTTTATTTATGGGAATAAATTTTAAATTATCTATTAGTTATGAAATTAACTGTTTAATATTTAATCTTTATCTTTATTTGTAGGCCATGAAATTAATTTTTATAAGTTATTTATCAACTTTTACATGTTTATTTATGGGAAGAAATTTTAAATTATCTATAAGTTATGAAATTAATTGTTTAATTTTTATCTTTATCTGTAGACTATAAAATTAATTTTCGGTTTTAATATGTTTATCTATATGGAGGAATTTTGAAATTCAAATATTTATCCATAAGTTATGAAATTAATTTTAATTTTAATTAATCAAACAAATAGAAAATGAAGAAAAAAAAATGAAAGGCAATCAAAGAAGGTTGCCACATAGGAAAGAGAGAGTTTTAAAATTATGAGAATTTAAGAATAAATATTTGGAGGCTTTGGTTACAACCCTCTTTCTTCATTATCAAGTGGGTCCATTATAAAAGGAATCCAGTTAGTAGTATGTCTTCATGAGCAAAGGAGGTCTGGGCTTCTAAATAGGGATCGAGTGGTTCGGGATCAAATCAAACAAAGCCTCACCTTAACTACGTACAAGGTACCTGTGAAAGCCCTGCCAACCATTGACTGGGGTGGACGCATGCACTCGCAACACAAAAGGCAAGACGAAGATGCTTCATATGATGGCTTTCTATCCCGTGCACTAGCAGCATACAGAGTCGGTTCCCTACAACATTGAATCTGTTTTGATAGACTTTTTTGAAAAAGGATTACAATAAGGTTGTTCCTGTCGTAAAAGCCAATCAAAAAATAATAAGTTTTACTTAAAAGTGATAAAAGCTACCAAGTAGGAGAAGTACCCAAGGAAGGAGAAGAAGCTCTTCCCTCTTTAACAGAAAAGAGATTGCAGAAGTGCTCAGGGTCTTGAAGAAGAGTGAGTACGATGTCGTCGAGCAACCAAAGAAGACTCTAGCTCATATCAACATTCTCTCGCTGCTCCTTACTTCAGACAAACACAGGGACACTCCGCTCTCCATTCTGAAAGAAGCACATGTCTCGAATGACATTTCTCCAGATGCACTTCAGAACATGGTGGGAATAATTATGTCCTCCAATGTTATCTTTTTCTCAAATGACAAGATTCCAGGCGATGGAACCAGCGGAATTGCCCAATCCTATCTTTCATTCTTTCCAAGCAGGCGAGTAGGCAGTTAGCAAAACAACTTCCACTTTCAAGTAGGCAGTTGGCTAATAGTCATAGCTCCTTTTGTACAGCAGTTCAAGCAGGCAGTTAGACTCTTTATTAGAAAATCGCTAGGATAGGAACAACTACGTTGAGCTATGAACTACCTATAGCTCGGATGATGATACAACTGCTATAATAGATGCTATAGAGCAGCTATCAAAGCGAGACAACTCCACTCCTATAGAATAGCTATAGCGATACATTTGCTAAAGTGAGACAGCTTTGATCTACGACCACCTTACTCTACTTGTCGAAAAGAAAGAACTCGCAAGGAAACCTTCCCAACAAAACAAACACAACCAAAAACACGAGGAGAAATAGGAAAGACATGTGAGTCAGGTAGTGGGACATGAAAAAGTATAGAGCAGGCAACCCATTGTGTAGTGATCAAGCGTCCTTCGTCAAATGCGGCATATCTCTACAATTGATCGACGTTTCATTCTCTTATCTCAGTGCAGTTTGTTAACGATGTGGCATACGAAACTAATAGCACAAAGTCGGTACCATTGACTGAACATAAACACAAGATCAATCAAGTCTCACATATGAACGAAATCGAAAGGGAATAGCATGGATGCTAACAACACCAGAAGTTCTCGTTCAGTATGAAGTTGAATGCAAGCCTATGTCCATATCGTGTAGTTGAAGAAGGAAACCAACCCGTAACAAACTATACTTGAATTGTTTAATACACTCCGAGGGCAAAGAGTCCTCTGCGCCTTCCTTCTCCCTTCGTTCCACACGTACCTGTTCTTCCTTCTAGATGGCTAGATGCACTGCCTTATCTTTTTCTTTCATATTATCCAGTGGATAGGTTGACGTGACACCTTACTACATTAATTCATCACAGACTCAAGTGGAAGATCAAACGCGGGATTGGACGGATGACACCTTCCTTCATGCAGGATCGATTTCTCGATCAAGTGTTGTCTCGCCTATAGGTGAAATCACTAAAGCCTATTTCCCCAAAAGAGGCATCAAATTTCGAGAAAGATTTGTCTCATATAGCGGGAAAACCAATCAACATGAATTTCCCTTATAGCGACATGTCAGAAATGGAAAACTTCGATCTCACCATGGCCAAAATCAGTACTTTACTTTTTGGCATCTTTCAGGGGCCGTTCCTTAAGGGAAATCGAGTTTAGGCCAAAATCACGGGGGTTTTATCAATGATGTAAGTTTTGCGCATAGGTGGGAAAAACCTTCTCCTGACTGACCGGACCAATGCATGGAGAGAGTCTTCTGCTCTGATCATGCCATGGAAGAATTATTATGGAAACTTGACCTAAGCTGCTCTTTCTTCCTGGAAAACTACTCCAGGGACTAGAGCAAGGGTGGTGAAAGGGATAGGCTAGGCTGAAGACAGAGTAACATCAGTCAACTTCCTTTCTTTGACCATACCATAGGATCAATTGTAAAAAAGTATGCTGCACCATGAGCATCTACGCTGCCTGAAAGAAGGAAAGAGCCTACCCCACATCTCTTTAACCAGAACGGTGTAACTAACGAGCCTGTGTAACTCATTCATCATGGTTGATGGGGCAATCCTTCCTAGGAGAGTGTGCTACTCCTTCCTAAGCCTTTTTGGAGTGAACTATAGTGGGTTGCGTTCTCGCTTCGTGTGCTTTTATCGCTGACAAGTCCTTTCCTACCTTTTGATCCCAAAAAGTGTAAAGAAAATAAAGATTGGGCTATTCTGTAGCGTACTTTCTCGATCGAATTGCCATCAAATCGTAGAAAAATTCTTACACATCGTGAGAGCTAGTCATTGGCTTCGTTAGCCGACTATATTAAAGAAATTGGATATCTGCCCAGACATTGTGAAAGATTTCATAAATAAGGTTGCCCTCTATCTATCTGAACGATACCTCTTGTGATGGTGCTACATCTCGCATGTACTTTCTTTTGACCTCACCTACCGCCCATGCCTGGGGGAAAGATCTAAGTTCTGGTCACATACTCGTTTTCACACATACGTTTTGAAAAGTTCTCCTAATAGCATTCGACGAAACGGCAACTCTTGCAGGGTATTATGGTAAAAAAAAAGCTTCATCCGCGGGTATTAGGACAACATAAATCTGTGACTGACGACATTGATGAATCGAACCTATAGCAATGCCGCTCTCCTTGCCCGCCCCATCCGCCCTTAGTCAGCTAACCAAGAATCAAAGGAATTTGCCCTTTCATCCGGATTTTCCTTCTGAGATTGGTTTTCCCTCCCTGACTCTGGGCTGGGTCGAGATCTTGGTCCATGGGCCCATTCTCAATTAGTCTTCCTGGACTATGTTTCTTACCCACCCGAACCACCCCTGCTAGCATAAAAACAAGAAAGTTCGGGCAGCGAGTCACATGTTGGAATGTCAGGATGTGGAATTTAGTTATTGAGATTAGATTAGTGATTAGTCACACCTACCGTCACCTATATTGGTCAGGTTAAGCAGCTGACTTCGCCCCAAGAGACTAGGAGAGTTGCATGTGATCAATTGTAAACAAGCTCTTGTACACCCATCTTCAAAGCCCGTCCCAATGTTGATAAGGCTTCAAGAGCAGTTACTAAGGAAGTGAAGTAAAAATACGCTAGTTAATCTGAGGTATGAGAGAGAAGCTCTGCTAGGGTTTCTGGTTTTGTGATGGGCGAGCGTTCGACAGGGGGTTCTTTTTCGACGGAAGAGGCTGATCTGTTGCTTCGGAGTAAGAAGAAGGTCAAAATGGCGGGGATTTCTTCGCCTCTGCGAGCAGATGCGGTTATGGAGGATAGTGCTCCTCTTAATTCGAATGGTGGAGTTGGCTGGTTCCGAAGCACAATCTGAGGTTCCTAGGGAGTCGTATTTGTCGAAGTTGACTAAGTTTGAGTCGAATTCTACTGAATTGGATGGAGATTGTGATTTGGAGAGTAAGGATAGTGATTCTGCTGATGATTCTGATTCGGATGATGAGATCGCTGGGGATTTTGCTGAGGTTAGGGTTTCTCTGTCTAAAGAGGAGAAACGGCGGTTGAGGTTACCATGGCGGAATGCGCTGATTGTGAAATTGTTAGGTAAGTCCGTTAGCTTTCCGTTTATGTGTGATCGTTTACAGCAGATGTGGGGAGCTATGGGAGATGTGAAGGTTGTGGATCTGGGATCGGATTTCTTTTTGGTAAGGCTTTCCAATAGAGATGATTATGATCATGTGCTTTTTGATGGTCCCTGGGTTATTGCGGGGCATTATTTGTCTATTCGGAAATGGCGTCCAGAATTTCGTCCCTCGGAGGCGTCTATATCCACCATTGCTGCGTGGGTGCGTTTGCCTGAAATTCCGATTGAATACTTTGATGAGGAAATCTTGAAGAAAGTTGGTAATATCATTGGACGTACGATTAAAGTGGATTTGAATACAATTCTGGTGAAGAGAGGGAAGTTTGCGCGTTTATGTGTTGAAATTGACCTTCGGAAACCTTTGCGTTCGAGAGTCTTGATTGGTTCGCGATGGCAGCGTGTGGAGTATGAAGGTATACATTTTTTTTGTTTTTCGTGTGGACGTTTCGATCTATGGGCTTTCTTTATTTAGTAAGGAGCTTTGTTAAAGAGATCGGAGAGGGGATATACTTGTAACAACGAAAGAAAAAAGGTTCTCTTTTTAAGCAATGGGGTGAATTCTGAATTCAAGAGGATTAGATTAGTTGTTTACTTTTATAGAAGCTAAGGCAAGAAGTAAATCGCTTTCAGTATCTCTTGCTTCTTTGGTTAGTTCAGTACGAGTGGCAGGCGCAAACTGGCACAGGCAATATATATATAATAATAATAAATAGGCGATTGAAGTAATAAAGTCAAGCTTTTGCCAGAGGATGAGTCTTTCAAGTATCGGTAGCATTCCCTTTATCAAAGTCTAGTACGCTAGGGACTGTCTGAAAGTGAAAGGCATCATTGGTAGGCGGCCAAGCGAACATTCCTGTGTGATTGGGGATAGGTAGGCGCAGTTAATCGACAATAGGGCAATTCGTTAATAGATATCTGTATAATGACTACCTCTTCTGAAGCCATACCGCGAATCTCTTGTCTTCTGGTAAACGGTCGGAATCAGTCCACGTTAAAAAAGCCTTCTTTTAAAGAGATCCCTTCCATCGGTCGTATCTGCCCTGTCTCAATCGGTCGAGCTGTCGTCCTGTATCGGTAGAAACTCTATCAATCGGTCTGGTCTGATCTTTCCATTCCCGGTCGCATCTGTTCTATTTAGCCAATCCCTTGCTGCTTGCTTCACCCCGCCCTGCCTGGTCATCGGTCGTACCCTATCGTCGAATCTGGAATCGAATCTGTGTCGGCATCTGTCCCACTGGCTGTTGAAGGTGCTGGCTGATGAAAGACATCCCCAGAATGCCCCCCTTTCGTGCCTATCTCACTTGTTTACAGCTCTTATGGGTCCGCTGCTTTCACATGATGCAATATCTGGGCCTCCTAGACCTGCTCTCTCGCCCAAGCCTCATAGCATTCATATTCCAAGCACTAAGTATTCCCTGCCTGCTCAAATGCGTCAATCCGCCTATCTGTACTCTTTCCCTCTTTGGAATGTATTAATTATATATAATTAAATAGCACATTAAATTAATTAAATATCACATTAAATTCTCATTTAACCACACAGTTAATAAAGTCAAAAATAAAATAAAGTAATAATAATAAATATGACCTAAGAAAAATCAGGGTCGCTACAATATACACACCTCAAAAGAATTTCGTCCCGAGATTCGATAGGAGAGAGTACTAGGCAAAACGTCCCGGATGCATATGCCGAACTTTCTCTTCTAATTCCCAAGTGATATTATTCTCATCCTCGCTCCATTACACTTTCACCAAGTTCACTTTCTTGTGTCGTAATTGCTTTACATCCCGGTCTAGAATAGTAACCGATCACACCACATAAGTTAGATCGTCACTAATCTCCAACACCTCTGGTGATACTACCTGGGAAGGGTCTTGCACACACTTTCGCAATAAAGATACATGGAACACGTTGTGAATCATAACTAAAGCAAGTGGTAAGGTTAATTTGTAAGCCACATTACCAATCTTCTTAGTGATCTCATATGGTCTCACAAATCTAGGTGCCAACTTTTCCTTCTTTCCGAACCGCATGATACCTTTCATCGGCAAGACCTTCAAAAACATGAAATCTCCAACATTCAGCTCAACCCCCTTATGTTTTCTATCAGCGTAACTCTTCTAACGACTCTGTGCAATCTTAATATATTCTTGAATAATGTTCACTTTCTCTGTGGTCTCTCTCACTAACTCTGGCCCTAACAACGGTGCATCTCCTACCACCATCCAACAAGCAGGTGATCGACATGGCCTCCCATACAAAGCCTCAAAAGGTGCCATCCTGATACTGGAGTGATAGTTATTATTATAAGCAAACTCCACCAATGGTAAGTGTTCTTCCTAACTACCACCAAGATCAAGGACACAAGCTCTCAACATATCCTCCAAGATCTGATTTACCCGTTCAGTTTGCCCATCTGTTTGAGGATGATAAGTCGTGCTCAAGTCTAACCTAGCTCCCAAAGCATTCTGAAAAGTCTCCCAAAACGCTACCACAAACAACGGATCACGATCCGAAACTATAGAAACTAGTGCGCCATGAAGTCGCACCACCTCCCGAATATACAACCTAGCCAGTTTATCTGCAGTTCGGTGAACACTTATTGGAATAAAATGAGCAGACTTGGTGAGTCGATCCACTATCACTCAAATAGATTCATTGTCTCGCTTAGATCGCGGCAATCCATCCACAAAATCCATAGAGATGTACTCCCATTTTCAAGTAAGGATCTCAAGAGGCTACAAAAGTCCAAACGGTCGTTGGTGTTCTGCCTTGACCTGTTGGCACAGATAACATCGAGAAACATACTCTCCTACGTCTTTCTTCATACCTTCCCACCAAAACATCCTTTTCAGGTCATGATACATCTTAGTCCCACCAGGGTGAATGGTATATCAGGACCTATGGGCATCATCTATAATCTCTTTTCTCAATTCAACAATGTTAGGTACACACAACCTGCCCCTGAATTGCAATCCCCCATCTAAGTCCACAGACCAATCAGCAGGACAATCATCGATCAAATCCACTACAAGATCATCAAGCTTGCTGACGAGAAACCCATCTAAATACCGCATCTGACGAATTTTACCCAGTAAAGTCGGTTACATGATCAAAAGTTGTAGCACTTGTACCCTTTTAAAACTTTTGGGAAGCGTATTTGAATCATTTACTATGTTTTGGGAATCTTTGGTGTTGTTGTATCGTGGTTTTGGATGAGTGAAAATTGATTTAAACTTGTTGGGATTGTTCATTCACGCTTGTTCACGTTGAAAAGTTGTTTGGAAACTTGAAAATCATGTTCTGGGGTCGACACCTTCTCTTTTAGTTGGCCACAAAGGTCGACACCAATCTGGGAATGGATGACCCTTGTTCTGAAATTGCTCACTGCATTTTGGTGTTGACACCAGTCTGGGAAGGGTCAACACCTTGCCTGTTACACTCTTTGCTTTTCTGCCTGAAGGGTCGATACCTCTGCTGTAAGGATCGACCCTTGTCCAAAATTTGCTTGCTGCTTTTTGGTGTTGACACCAGGTTTTGGAAGGGGGGGTCGACACCTGTGTCGTTGTCAAACAAAGTGTTCCATCTTTCTTCATAGGGGTCGACACCTATGTTGCAGGGGTCAACACCTGCATGTTTTTTTTTCCAGATTTTTTAGTCCAGTTTGGGCCCTACTTTTTGGGGATTTTGACTTGATCTTTTGGGTTGACTTTAGGACTTCATTTTACTTTGACCTAGCACTACAAATAGGTAATTCACTTAACCTTTTCTTTACTTTTTCTTCTCTTCTCCCCTCTTCAAACCGTGAGTCACTCTCTTCTTCTCCAAAATCACTTTTTGCTCAAAGATCTCTGGATCTACTCACCTAGAGTGATCTTTTCACCATGGTCCTTTGAGAAAGATTGTAAATCTCGTCAAGGGCTTCCTTTTGGTCTGAGTGGTTCATAGTTTCATCATCGGTGATTTTTGGGTTGTTTTCTCTTCGCTTCAAAATGTAGGGATTTCTTTGCTCCTTTCCAATACTTCATCTATGGATAGACATGTGGTAGTTTTTATTGCATAAAAACCATATTCATTATGGATTTTCTTGAAAGCCATGAATAGGGGATCTAGGGTTTGATATTTGTGAATGGAGTTGTTAAATTGTTTGTTGTTGAGTAATTTGGGAAATGATTTACTATGTTTATGAAGAAAAGAAGGAAAGCCCTAATTTGATATTATTGATATAATGGGTTTAAAAGGGAGGGAGTTGAATAATCTTTATATTTTGCTTATATGGGTTGGATAATTGTATTTATATCAAAAGAAAATAAAAAGAGAAGTAACCACGGTGTTGGTATTGTTTTAGACTAATCACGTGAAGTTGAGTTGAGTTATGGTATTGATACCAATGGGATTGGTTTTGTAAAATAAGGAAAAGTGGTCTTTTTGAAAGAAAATGAAATCATCACCCTTTGTAAACGAATAATGAACTTGAGGTTGGATCTTGGAACCTTCACATATTATCATTTTTATTGGACTGAAAGTCATGCGAGAATTGAATTTTTGTTTTCCTTTCGTATTAGATGCAGAAATGGATAGATATGAATGTAAATTGTGGGATTGGATATTTGCAATCTCTCACCTATGAAAATATGGATAGTTTATCTATTTGAAAATTGTATGCATGTTTAGGAATATATGTTTTGAGCTATCGGTGGAGGATAGCTATGACTGTTGTAGAAATTGCGCATGGACTAGGAGAATTGAAATAAATCCTTCATTGGTTGTCATTGAATATGGCGGTTTGATTAAATTGTTGAATGTGTGAATTTTTGGTAGTCATTGTATATGACACGCCTTTAAATTCATTGTATATGTATCATTGTTTAGGAGGAGAAAAGTGATGTACTTCATTGTTTAGGAGGAGAAAGAGGATGTACTCCACTATTTGGAAGGAGATAGGGGATGGACTCCATTGAAAATTAAGTTGGCTGGAGTGTCCAGGGTGAAAGTCCCGAAATCTTATATATATGGGTGTCGGTTCCCTCAGATTAGAATTTCCTAAAATGGCAAAATTGAAGTGTTTGTGTAATAATTGTGTTGATTGAAAACCCCTGAGTTGTAGCCTCAGTTGAGTGTCTAAAATGTAATGAATTGGCTCATGAATTGAGATGAAATGAATTAACTTGAAATGAATTGTCATGAAATGACGTAAGACTAAATTGACTAAAGGTGTATCCTTGGCTTACCGTGTTTAAGGCAGGTAGAGCAGAATTTATTTATCATTATTGTCTCAGTATATCTGGGTATATCATAGGTTATGATGGTATTGTTCTAGAAGGCCGTGTTGCGTTAATTGTTGAAGCAAATAGTTATTGATGGCTTGTTGTTTTCTTTTTGTATTAAAGGCATACTTGTATAGTTATGAATGTGTTGGAAACGAACGTAAGTATCGTGTTGAGATTGTGAAAAGTGTGGAAGACTTTGAATACTTGTGAACATGTTTTGAAAAGGCAAATTAGGTGTAAGTCTGGAAAGTGAGAGAAAACATAATAGGCTTGGTAAAATTGTTTTCTTCAGAAATTTGTTATAGTCATATGAATTTTGACAAAAGTTAACAAGAAGAAAGAAAAGTGAATTGCTTATGTTATTGAATGAAATGAACGATTTTGAGAAAAGTTCTTATATTCGTATATTTCTGTATAAACCGTCACATTATTTATACAGTATGAGACTAAGCATTCATGATCATAGCTATCTGTAAGTTTCTATTGTTTAGGATCATGTTGAGATCCCTACTGGACTTTATGTTCATCCCACGTTGCTAATCCTTTTTCAGGTGAACATCAAAAAGTGTTTCAAGGTCATGGATCTTCTTTAACTGTTGGCCACGGGGCCTTTTATTTGTGAGCGGAATGCCATTGATGTAAAAGGGTTAAACCCTTTCTTTTACTGTTAAAGATGTAAGCCTACGGGCAATTTATGTAGTTATGCTCATGTTGTACTTAATTTGCATTCGGATGAGGGAATCTTTATTTATTCTTACTAGTTGACGTAAAGAGTTTATGCATGTTATCTCTAAAATTGAATAAACTTAATGAATTTGCTAATGGATTCTGAGTAATAAAATGTGGAGCATGACGCTACCAATATATGCCCTCTCGACATTCTCTATTGGTTGAACACCATGCATCGAAATTAACTCCAAGGACTTCCATTCCTGAATCATCAAAGAAGCTATAATCCCATGTTGTCGACTAAGTGCATTTGCAACCACATTTCCTTTCCCCTGGTGGTAAAGAATCTCGAAATCATAACTACTGACAAATTCAACCCATCTCTGTTGTCTCATGTTCAACTCTTTTTGAGAAAAAAGATATTTGAGGCTCTTATGATCTGTGTATAACTCAAAGTGCTCCCCAAACAAGTACTGTTGCCACACTTTCAACGCAAAAAACAACTGCTGCCAACTCTAAGTCATAAGTAGGGTATCATCTCTCATGAGGTTTTAACTATCGAGAAGCATAAGATACAACCTTCTAATACTGCATCAACACACATTCCAACCCAGTTCCACTCGCATCAATAAAAAATCATCACCCTTTGTAAACGAATAATGAACTTGAGGTTGGAT